TCTTCCTCTACTTTTGTAGCCATCCACATTTTATTTTAGTACTTTAGGTGACAATTATCGATCCTAATAATATGTCCATACTTATCTTTTGCTTCTCTATTTGTCCATAACTGACGCTACTTTTCAACTCCTAATATACATTCTTAATTTTGGCCATTCTTGTCAGATCACACATTTTAACACTATATTACGATGGCTTATCTTTATTAATATTTAAAAAAAGTGTCATAAGATCTTGTCGTGTTTTCTTTAACATTGTAACCGTTATCGATCAGCCGCTCCACCGGTCCAGATATGTTTGTCGGACTATAACAAGGGTACTGAACAAGTGAGGCTGTCAAACGCTCCCGCTGGCATGGAGCCAAAATACTAATGTCCCATTGAATAGTGCTATTTGTAAAGTGGCCCGAGCGAGACGGAATACTGCACACATGTATAGATACGCCATTGCTCGTTAATTATTGGGCCATAGAACTGACGATGTAATACGCGTAAAATGTTAAGGTATTTTTTTTTAATTAACAACCAATAACAATCTTGTGGTTTTTTCGATTGTGAGGTATTTGTATGTAACTGGCGACTCCGTCTGCGTAAAATTAAAAAATAGTAAAAAAATGTAGTCTATGTTACTCACAGATAAATTACCTTTCTAACGGAGAATGAAATTTTAAAATCGGCCCACTAGTTTTTGAGTTATTTCAATACATACAAAAAACAAAAATACATCTCTTTCCTCTTTATAATATTTATATCGAAAAATCTTTGCTTCGTGTCAAATTCACGCAATATTTAATATTAAAAGATATGACATGGCTTATAAATCTGTTTGTTTTACTTTCTGTAACAAATTCTTATCGATTTACTTTAAATATAGCGTGCAAAAATAATATTAAAATATCAAAACTAATACGCGACACGGTTAGTGAGAATTAAGACGTGGCGACAAATAAAATATGTAATATATAATAAATAAATAAAATAAATAAAATAAATAAAATAAATGTAATATATCAAATTGTGTGTGACGTTTGAATTCGATACGATATTGAAGTATTTAATCAATTTTAACTATGATATATTTATAAAAGTTTTATTTATTTCATAACTCCTAATTTAACTACGTCTGTATTTATTGAATCTAATATTATACTAGAAACTAGATGTTGCTCGCGACTTCGGCCACGCAATATTAAGATAAAAAGTAGCCTATAACATGCCCGTCTATATCAGCTACCCTTCAGTGAAAGTGCGGTCGAAATCGGCCCATCCGTTTCGGAGAATACCCGGAACAAACGCAACTTACGAAGTTTTCGTTATCAGCAACGCAAATACATCATATTCCTCAAATACCTGGTATTTTCGTTTTGATATTACAAACAGATACTCCACTTTTATTATACGTGTAGATGTCTTTATTATCTGTTGTGATTTTTTTGAAAAATATCTTTAAATTGCAGCTTCCTTTTTTGCACTGTATCTTTTTATTAATTTTACGTACACTAAGATAACACACATAATTTCACTTTATCAATTCCTATTTAATTTATTTCAATTGTTGTTTGATAAACAAATCTGATAAATAAAAATAAAAACTTAATCGACACAACAAAGTATCAATTCGCTTACTTCGTGGCCTACATTTAGGAAACGATTGAGTTCGGTGATGAATGGTCGAAGTGAGAAGAGTTCGTTTGATCGTCTTATAAATATTGTGGGTGTAGTCGAAAGGAATTCGAGAACGGCTCTTAATAGTCTCCTTGCAGAGGCAGTTATTCACAGCACGTTTGGATGCGACGTAAAACATTCACCAGCGGAACAGTTAATTATTTGTTTAAATATCAGTGAGGATGTTTCTGATTTATCGATGTTTAATTTGTATTATGTTGCAATAAATTTGATATAAATACAGTCATCTTACTAATGTTAGTTTTAAAAGGAAGAGATACATTTTCGTAGATACTTATGTGTTGTAAAATTACGAAATTTAGGGCCTGTCCCACCAAATTGTAAATTGATAACAATTGAACGTGTAAAATAAGTGATGGAAATATCTGATTTTCCTTGTCTGACTGTGACGTCATTTTTAAGCTACCTGAGCCTCTGTCAGTCAGTGATGAGATAGGCTCTAAGATTTCGAAGCTGTGTGTATTCAATTGTTTTATAATATGACTTATAATTGCTTTAGTTTAGTTTTATTGTACACTTTGTATATCGTGCGTATTTCCCATTGATGATTCTAATGGGAAAATAATAGATTAATCAGTAGGCTGATCAGCCCAACGGGAAACATCCATTTATTCCTCTTAATTCTTTATTCAAAACACCAAAAATCATCTGAACACATTGTACATACATTTAGACATACGAAGTAAATCACTAACTATCAAAGCATCTTGTACAGACAACAAAAACGTCAGTCGAATTGTCTGAACGTTTAAAATATTGGAATAAATGACATACCACGCCTCGCACGATTAATGGTGATCGCGTACAAAAAGCAAACACACTCATTAATATATCAAGTGTCCTTTTAGTCGCGTAAATACAGTCAGAACAATCAAGGGATGTACCGTGCGCCATCAATCTTGATACTTGATAAGTTAAAGTCTAATTAAAGATACATCGATTGCTATTGAACTGTAAGACCTTTTAATTTAATTGTAATGTTTGTTCCTGCAGGGTTAAATGGTCAATATAAAAGGACTTTAGTGTAGATATGTGTAACTTAATCTTTACTAAGGAAAGCCCATAGTAAATAATAAACTCAAAAACTATCAACCTGATTTTATCTCCATTAAAATACTTTATTATCCATGAGTAATATATGCATTTTAAAATTGTATATAAAAAAAATAAAATATACCATCTAAATTACACAGACATAGTCTTACTAGTTAAGCCAAAAAGTATCAAAACGATTGTCTTCCATAATTCATTCCCTTGTTTAATACGTTTTTTAATATAAAAACAATAGTTAATGTATTTAAGAGTATACGAAACGTCTCATATTTCTTTCGACGCGTCCAAAGTCACGACGCGCGTGTAATTCAGAAGTTAACATCTGCAGCAGATATCTCTTGAACAATTAACAAGAAAACGAAGGAAGACGCGAGTGAGTGTATTTTTAATGTATAATTTGGGGGGATTAAAACGGCCAGTACACACTATCGAGGAAAAAAAGGATTTTCTTCAAGTTGTTGTATTCAGATATACTAACTTTTTAATAATGTACCGTTAAAAAGCAATTTCATCTGAGAAACGGAAATTCAATTAGTAATAAAACTTTACTTAAAAATAATCGCATCTAATATTTGAAAGGTTAACAGTATTTTGTCTTGGTATAATTTTTCATTTAAATCGAAAATCGGATGTTAATAAAAACGGAATTCAAAGAACACAAGCTTGTTTATTTACTGTCAAAAATGTCAGAAAATGACGTATTTATTTAAAAGTGTTTGGACCGACAATGTTTGATACTTTTTAGTACATTTCTCTTGATATCCTTTCAGTTTTACGTAATCAATCAAAAGTATTTGGCTGAATATCTTTGCGGCCTTTCAATCCTCGTGTGTATCCGCCCTAATATTATTTTGGTCTCCCTTGTCGTCGGCGCTCGCTTTGACGTCTAAACACAACATTAATACACTACGACTTTTTTTCTTCCCTGTCACATAATTTACTTTTTTTCGTTCTTAAAGTTTTTTTTATGTGGCCCATTAACTATTAAGCGTTCCTCGTACATTTGACATGGGAATTGATATGTTACTTTCGTAAGCGCCGTGACTAGTCTAATATTTCTGTCTAATGCTAATATGCTGAAACCGCGAAATTAAATTCACAATTTGCTAGCTAATTCCAACCTTATTGCCATTAAATTTAGGTCGAAATTATAAAATAAAACAATATAAATAGTTTATAGTAGATAATAGCATTAATAAAATTATAAGACAAAGTGTTCCAAACCACTTTCATAATCTCAAATAAAAAACAGTCTTAATGTGTTACGAAATATTTGGGAAAATACTAAATTGTTTCTAATATCTGTAAAAAAAAAGCCCGCTAACATTTTTAGCTGACCGTGAACTTTAGTTAAAACTTACGTGTGTTGGCAATATTTTAACAATCACTTAAACTCAGTTTTGCCAACATTTCTGCACAAACCTTATACTTTAAGGTAAAATATTACTAAACATTTATTCTTAGGAAAAAAAACAAAAGCTTGTATTTTTCCACACTATCCTCTACATCTATGACAAATCGAGAGTGTTCAGCAGTTTACTACAAACTCTGACAAACATCCATCCATCTAAACTTTCGTATTTATAATATTAGTAAGAAGTAAGATTTTTAATAAAGATGTATTAATATCTCATAGAAGTGACTTGAAATTTCCAACACAGATTTACTCCAATTTATTTGTTTGCCTGAATAACTGGCCAGCAACAATTAAGAACGCAAATTACTTACTAATCCGTCCATCGCTAAATAATTTAAAAATTACAGTCGTATAGATCGTATCGGACCGCACGTTCCAATCTTTTTTTTTTGTTTTCTTAATGCGATTTACCGAACAAAGAATGACATACCATTCGGTACCTTTTGTATCTTTTTTATTATATTTTTCATACGACTGCTTCTTTTCAATTTGTTTTCGAGTTTTCGATTTGAGTTTAATATTTTTAAAGTTTTATTTAGGAGGAATTAAAATATTCCTTTTATTTACTTTTCACTTTATTCTCGGAAACATATGAATAACAACATTATTATCAACAGTCCAGTAAACTGATACAGCTCGTTAATTAAAATATTCGGCATCCGTTTCATACATTCGATAATATCGACACAGTTAAATTTGTACCTTCATGTTTTGTTATTAGAGTCAATTATCCTCAAAATCAGATTCGGAATTCGACTCCAAATGCAATAAATATAGCATTGTATTAATAATGCACAGTAAAACACACTTTAAGAGTAGACTAATAAGGTTCTATTTCCAACAGATGCTAACGGAGAGCCGCCTAAGTTGAAATGCAACTTGAGGAAGCATAAACCAAACCGCAAGCCGCGCACGCCCTTCACCGCACAACAGCTACGCGCGCTCGAGAGCAAGTTCGTCGACAAGCAGTACTTGAGCATTGCCGAGCGTGCTGAATTCTCGTCATCACTAGGACTTTCTGAAACACAGGTAAAATAAATTAATTCAAAAAAAAAATAAACAACGACAATTTAGAGCGTGCGCACTCCTAAAACTAACGCCCAACTGTTTAGTCTCGCTTTGATTCCTATGAGCTTATATGGTGCGCGCAATACTCGATTTTTACTAGTGCGATTAAACAATTGAATTGGCTGTAAAACAATCGACAATCGCACCAGTTTTGCGATTATTTAGTCAAAGATGTGTCCTCGCTCTTATGCTATAAAATCAATGTTTTCTTTCCTATAAATGTTTGTGTAGTATTCACGTATTCTTAAGTTTTCATAAACCTTTTTACTATGTTTAGAACAAATTTTAATTTTAAAATCTTCTTTATCAACAGGTCAAAATATGGTTCCAAAACAGACGCGCGAAAGCGAAACGAGTCCAAGAGGCGGAGATTGAAAAACTCAAGATGGCGCAGTTTTCCCGCCATCCCCACCATTTGTACCCGCATCCCGCGCTTCAACAGTATTTCCACCCTCACCCCTTGATGGGGGGTGGCCGCCCCATGCCGCACATGGGCTTACCGCCTCACCTCTCTATGGTCCAATCCCCAGTATCGGGGACCTCCTCGCCTAGCACTCAAACTAGCGGACAGCAATGAACTTTTTAATTGTCTATGAATCGAATCTGTCATGTTGTGAAATTGTATACGGTATTTTAAGTTTTGAATTTCGAATACGATTGTTTATTCTTTTGTCTTGACAAAATTCTTGATGGCCAGTAATATCGAATCATACTTTTTTTAAACTATAATATTACCGTATTATAAAAAGTAAATGTTTTCAAAATAATTTGTCAAATTGGATTGTGAAGTCTGCATTATTTTCGAATGAATTGTATTTTATAGTTATAATATTATGAATTTTAGATATTGTAAATTATTTTGTAAATATTAGATTAATTATAAGAATTTAATATTACCGATATCGTTTCTATTAAGTTAAATACTGTATAAAATATTGTTAGAAGTCATACAACCAAATTCTTAATTCCTACATTATGTATTATCCCAGTACAAAAACTATGCGAAGTGTTGACTTACAATAATTTATGTAAATATGAGTGACCATAGCATGTTATTTGTACTTATGTAGTAAAAATATATCAATTTCGCAAACGAACCATGTTGTTTTAATATCCATCTACTAATATTATAAATGTGAAAGTTTAGAAGGATGGATGTTTGTTAGAATTTGTAATCTGGGGATACTCTGGAAGAACATATAGGATACTTATTTTTTTAAATATTACGTGGAAAGAGTCGCTGGCGAAATCTAGCAATAAAACACTATAAATTCATGTTTCACAGGCAAAATATTAAAGAAATTATAAAGATTATTTACGTAAACATATTTTAAAATATTGTTTATAAAACATCTTTGGAACCTACTTAACAGTTTATCGGTGTTGCCAGCTATCAGGACGGCCTATTGGCACTTATTTAAAACAATCACAGATAACGTAATGACGGTTTTAATGTTAATAACAATATGCGTGCTGTGTCGAGAACTAATTTAAATATATCCATTAAAGTTAATTGTGCGATAAAGTGCGAGGTCAGGTCATATGATACTGAGTATATAACATAGGGGGTATATCAGAATCTTTTTTCTCATCTCCTGTTTTACTCGGAATTGCTTAATGGTTAATTTTTCATACTAATCTTATTGTTAATGTGACAGTTTAGATGGATGGATGTTTGTTAGAGTTTGTAGCCTAAACGGCTGAACCAATTTCGATGAAATTTGGTACAGATATAGAGGATAGTCTGGAAGAATAGATAGGCTACTCCCTTTTCTTTTATTCTACGCGGACGGAGTCGCAAGTGAACGCTAGTAACATTATAAATGTGGCAGTTTAGATGGATGGAGTTTGTAGCCTAAACGGCTAAACGGATCTCGAAGGAATTTGGCATGAATGCAGAGGTTAGTCTGGAAGAACATATAGGCTACTTTTTTATTTTATTAATACCACGCGGAGTCGCGCGCGGAAGCTAGTGAATTATGAAAATGATTCTAATGTTACACGCCAAAATCTTATCCCTAGAATATCATAAAAGACAACGGAGTTGAGTTGACGGAGTCGAACGGAAAAAGTACCCGAATATTGCTTGGAAAAAAATGGAGAAAATCTGGAAAAAAAATTATATTTAAATTAGAAACATGTTCCTACCAGATTGTTCAAATCATTTTTAACGGGTTATTTAAGAGATAAAATAATGAACAATTTATAAAACAAATTTTTGACGTCATCTACAAACTTAAGGGTGTAACACGAAAGTTTATAAAAAAAGTACTCGTATTTTTATTTAATTTGTCCAGTGTCAGGAGTGAAGTTCACCGATATAACTCACACAAAATTTGTCGCATAC